CCCTCCCTCCCTCCCTCCCTCCCTCCCTTCCATAGAATAACAGGATAAAAGTGCTGGAAGGAACCTTGGAGGTCTTCTAGTCCAGCCCCCTGCTCAAGCAGGAGACCCTAGCTCATTCCAGACAAGTGACTGTCCAGTCTCTTCTTAAAAACCTTCAGTGTTTGACCACATACAACTACTGGTGGCAAGCTGTTCCACTGGTTAGTTGTTCTCACTGTTAAGAAGTTTCTCCTTAATCCTCAACGTTGCTTCTCTCCTTATTTTCCATCCATTGTTTCTTGTCTTGCCTTCTGGCACTTTGGAAAATAAGTCGACCCCCTCTTCTTTGGGGCAGCCCCTCAAATACTGGAATACTCCTATCATGTCCCCCCTAGTCCTTCTTTTCTCTAGACTGGCCATTCCCAAATCAAGTCAAGCTATTTTCCAAGGCGCCTGAAGGCAGGACAAGAAGCAACGGGTGGAAACTAATCAAGGAGAGAAGCAACCTGGAACTAAGGAGAAACTTCCTGACAGTGAGAACAATTAGCCAGTGGAACTCCTTGCCTCCAGAAGCGGTGAATGCTCCAACATTGGAAGTTTTTAAGAAGAGACTGGACAGCCATTTGTCCGAAATGGTATAGGGTTTCCTGCCTGAGCAGGGGGTTGGACTAGATGACCTCCAAGGTCACTTCCGACTTTATTATTAACAACCTGCCTCCAGAAGTTGTGAATGCTCCAACACTGGAAGTTTTTAAAAAGAGACTGGATAGCCATTTGTCCGAAATGGTATATAGGGTTTCCTGCCTGAGCAGGGGGTTGGAGTAGATGACCTCCAAGGTCCCTTCCAAGTCTGTTATTCTGTTACTTTTTTCTTTCCCTCCCTCCCTCCCTTCTCCAACGCTGGACATTTTTAAGAAGAGACTGGACAGCCACCTGTCTGAAATGGTGTAGGGTTTCCTGCCTGAGCAGGGGGTTGGACTAGATGACCTCCAAGGTCCCTTCCAACTTTATTATTATTATTATTATTATTATTATTATTATTATTATTATTATTATTATTATTATTATTATTATTATTATTATTATTATTATTATTATATCCTTCAGCCTTTCTTCATATGTTTTAGTCTGCAGGTCTTTCATCACCCTAAGTTGCTGTTCTCTGTGCTTTTTTTCCAAAATCAACAAACAGTCCTGGAAAACTCAGCAAGGTGAAAAGTGGGGCTGTCCAAAGCTGGCAATTTGAAGACCTGTGGACTTCCACTCCCAGAATTCCCCAGCCAGCATCGCTGGCTGGGGAATTCTGGGAGTGGAAGTCCACAGGTCTTCAAGCTGGCCAGGTTGGACACCCTTGACGTAAACCAAAGATGATCTTACCGGTATCTTTCGCAACTTCCGAAACCGGCTGGTTCCTCATCTCCGCCATGTAGCCCAGCACCGTGAAGATGACAAATCCCGCCAGGAAACTTGTGAGGCAGTTGATGGCGCTGGTGACGAGAGCATCCCTACAACGACAACCCACAACCCCGTCAGTATCGTCAGAGGGGGCTGGGGGCTTCTGCCCCGGGGCCTCTTCCACCTCCCCCCCCAACCTTAAGGAGAAGCAGAAGGAAGACTGCACGGGCCAGACTAGCTGGGAGGGGAGGTTGAGGCATCGTTTCACGCTTACGACCGTCGCAGCCTCCCGGTGCGGTCACGTGATCCAAATTGAGAGGCTTGCCAACGGATTCACACTTACGACGGTCGCAGCGTCCCGGGAATGTCACGTGATCCCCTTAGGCCGCCTTCTGATTAGCAAAGTCAATGGGGGGAAGCCAGTGGCAAGAAAGGTCGTAAAATGGAGCGAAACTCACTTCGCAACTGTCCCATTTAGCGACCGAAAAGGAGATCACATGACCCCCCAAGAAACTGTCCACTGTCATAAAAATCGATCCGTTGCCAAGCCTCTGAATTTGGGTCACATCGCCACGGTGGAGGCTGCAACGGTCGTAAGTATGAAAAGTGGTCATAAGTCGCTTTTTTCCCCCAGTGCCGTTGTAACTTTTAGCGGTCACGAAATGAACTGTTGTAAATCGAGGACTACCTGTATGTTCACCACGTTGAGTTATTTGTAAAAATACTAAAGGAGGGACTGAAAGAAAGAGAGAGAGAGAGAGAAAGAGGAAGGAAGAAAGAAAAGAAAGAAAGATAAAGGAAGGAAGGAAGGAAGAAGAGAGAGAAAAAAAGAAAAAAAAGAAAGAAAGAAAAAAGAAAGAAAGGGAGAAAAAGAAAGAGAGAGAGAGGAAGAAAGAAAGAAAGAAAGAGACGGAAAAGGCAACAGAAAAAGAAAGAAAGAAAGAAAGAAAGAAAGAAAGAAAGAAAGAAAGAAAGAAAGAAAGAAAGAAAGAAAGATAAAGGAAGGAAGGAAGGAAGGAAGGAAAAAGAGAGAAAGAAAAAGAAGAAAGAAAGAAAGAAAGATAAAGAAATGAAGGAAAGAAGAAGAGAGAAAAAAAGAAAGAAAAAAGAAAGAAAGGGAGAAAAAGAAAGAGAGAGAAAGGAAGAAAGAAAGAAAGAAAAAAGTAGGAAAGAAGAAAGAAAGAAAAAAAGAAAGAAAGAAAGATAAAGGAAGGAAGGAAGGAAGGAAGGAAGGAGGAAGAGAGATAGAAAAAGAAAAAAGAAAGAAAGGGAGAAAGAAAGAAAGAAAGAAAGAAAGAAAGAGAATGAAAGAAGAATTAAAGAAAGAAAGAAAAAAGAGAAAGAAAGGAAGGAAGGAAGAAAAAAGAAAAAGAAAGAAAAGGAAAAAGGAGAATAGAAAAGAAAAAGAAAAGAAATAAGAAAGAAAAGAAAAGAAAAAAAGGAAATAAAAGTATACCTCTCTGGCTTCTTCCAAAGACCCCTCCATTCTCTCTGCATTCCACCTTTTCTGCCAGCCCCCCTGAAAATCCACTTTTTCTTCCTCCCAACGAACGGCACTTACTGGTAGCAGTTGTTGTGGAACTTGTTGTAGCTGGCAAACGCCAGGAGGACCCCAAACCCTGGGCCGAGGGAGAAGAAGATCTGGGCCGCTGCGTCCACCCACACCTAGAGAGACAGACCCACAAAGCACAGCCAGACAAGCGGTCCGTGAAAAGCGCTGGAAGGGCGGAAGACCCCGTCCCACTTTGGATCCATCACGGGATCCTGCTTGGCTCACAAATCCACAACGACAACGACGACGACGACGACAACAACAACAACAACAACAACAACAACAACAACAACAACAATAATAATAATAATAATAATAATAATAATAATAATAATAATAATAATAATAAAGTTGGAAGGGACCTTGGAGGTCACCTAGTCCAACCCCCTGCTCAGGCAGAAAACCCTATACCATTTCAGACAAATGGCTGTCCAGTCTCTTCTTAAAAACGTCCAGTGTTGGAGCATTCACCGCTTCTGGAGGCAAGTTGTTAATAATAATAATAAAGTCGGAAGGGACCTTGGAGGGCATCTAGTCCACCCCCCTGCTCAGGCAGGAAACCCTATACCGTTACAGACAGATGGCTGTCCAGTCTCTTCTTAAAAACTTCCAGTGTTGGAGCATTCACAACTTCTGGAGGCAGGTTGTTAATAATAATAAAAATAATGTTGGAAGGGACCTTGGAGGTCATCTAGTCCAACCCCCTGCTCAGGCAGGAAACCCTATAGCATTTCAGACAAATGGCTGTCCAGTCTCTTCTTAAAAACCTCCAGTGTTGGAGCATTCACAGCTTCTGGAGGCAGGTTGTTCCACTGGTTAATTGTTCTCACTGTCAGGAAGTTTCTCCTTCGTTCTAGGTTGCTTCTCTCCTGGATGAGTTTCCATCCGTTGCTTCTCGTCCTGCCTTCAGGTGCTTTGGGGAATAGCTTGACTCCCTCTCCTTTGGGGCAGCCCCTTCCCTCTGCCAGCCCAACCGTCTCCATGGACATCCTTGAAGAGACTCCTCCATTCGGCTTTCCTAGACTCACCCTGCCCCCTTTCCCTCCTCCCTGGAGAGAGTCAGATGTTCCCCTCTTGCAACTAGGAGAAACTTCCTGACAGCGGGAAGAATTACTCAGTGGAACTCCTTGCCTCCAGAAGTCGTGGGTGCTCCCTCACTGGAGGCTTCCAAGAAAAGACTGGACAGCCATTCGCTCAAGAGGGTAAACTGTGTCCAATTTTGGGAACTCTTAAGACTTGTGGACTTCAAGTTCCCCATAGCTGGCTGGGGAATTCTGGGAGTTGAAGTCCACAAGTCTTAAAAGTTCCAAAGTTGGGCATCCCTAATGCAGGCTCTCCTGCTCAAGCAGGGGGTTGGACTAGAAGACCTCCAAGGTCCCTTCCAACTTTGTTATTCTGTTAATTCTTGGCTGGTCCAGGAGCAAACGGGGACTGCACGTCCAGACTCCGATCGGCCGATTACGATCTGCTCCTTCCTCACTTCAGAGATAGTCAGCACAATAGCAAAAATTTTTTT